GTTCCTACTAAATTTAACCCATGAACGGCATTTTCTGCGAGCCTAACTTCAAGCCACAAATAAACAAACGAAGTGTTCGATCGTTTAAATAGCTGCTCGCCAGATTTTATTGCATTATAAAGAAAAGTTATTGAAACTAAATACAACTAAATAAACAACAACAACTAAAACAAATAACAACAACTACTAATAACAGTAACTAAATAAACAACAACTAAATTCCATTCGTTTAGCATTGCGTCATATGTTGTTCCTACTAAATCGAAGTAGTTGTATTTTTTTCACATTATACCCAAATAACGAGTAGGCCTATTAAAAAAAATTTATTTATTGCAGACGATTCTTTTTAAGTAACTTCTTTTCTGTGTCTTATTTTTTGAATTTTAGTTTTTAAAGGGACGTTTACCTGATACTCCAGAATTAATAACAGTTAATGACCTAACATTGACAAGGTAAAAATCAACAATCTATAGCAAATTGATCTCAATCAAACCTTTGCAGAATCTAACAGCAGTATTGAAAGAATTCAAATTTAAGTAAGAAATATTACAAAGGTATCTGAAAAAGAAAACAACGGCAAGAGATAACAAGAAAATGAAGTTTGTAGTTAAAAAAAAGGCAGATCTGGAGTGTGAGATGTTTGCATCAGAAATAGAAAGAAGAAGGAATTAATATTTCTAAAACTACTTAATGTTGTCGCTTCTCAATCGCTTCGTTTTCAATCTCATATTCCAAAAACATAACCATTTATAACTGTCGCTACTCGATCATTTCACTTTAAATCTCGTTTCAATCACATGTTTCAAAAGCATATCACCACTTATAACTAACTGTAAAACAAAAGCTTGTGAGAATAAGAAATTCTATGAAATATTCTAATATTTTGGATCACAAAATCGTGTTCTATTATTTTGATTTATTTTTTTTTGTCAAAAATGAAGAAATTAATGCATGCTACATACATTTGAAATTTTTTTTAGTTGAAAAATACTGTGAGATATATACACTCACTAAACTTATAATTTATTTTGAATTAAGCTAGTAAAAAACAAAGTAAGACCCTTTTTAATGTCTAATTTTTTGATTATTCTAATACTTTGAATCAGATCTATCAATAAATATTCAATCGATGTTTCATTTTTAGTAATAAGAAATATAATAAGCTTAAAGAAGCTTATTATACTTATTCATAAACTTTAGGAAAGATGCCATATATTTGAGTTTTTATTCTTCATTTCTCGTAGAAAAAGATATTTGAGAAGAGAAGTATGACCTTGATGGCCGGCAATAACTGTTAAACAGATGTGCCATGCAGAAAACTTCCCTGAGAATCCTGCTTTCATTTCTTTAAATTATCCGTTGCAACATTTCTCATAGTTTTTGCATGCATTTCCTTTAGAAATAAAGGGTTCGTTATATCGGTAAAAAAATTTAAAACTCAGTTTATTCTATGCGTGTAGAAGATATTTTAGAAGCTTCAAGTCAAAAAAATACAAGGAAGGTATAATCTTTTTAAGAGACTCATATTTTTAAAAAAGATTGCGTGTTTAATTAATGATAGTTGACTTCTTTATTTTAGGGACTCATTTCGTACAATATTTATCATAATGCTTACACTTTTTTTTAACAAAACTAGAACGAAAACGAAATTAAAATATTCAAAAAGTAATAATGATAAGTGATTAATAAAGCGAGTTTTTTTTTTAAATCCAAAAATCATCAAATCTTACATTTGAGTGTATAAACCAAAACTTCTACAATTCCATCAGCTTCAGAATATTTCCTAAGTATTATCACCCTAATGAAATCATTCTTTCTTGAAAAAATCTCTACCTAATAACTAATCTTATTATTACTTTCTTTTTTAGGAAAAAGTTAAAGAAAGCACAGAATGAGGAACAATAATAATTGAAAAATTTTATTTGTAAAAGACGATACATTGGACCATAGAAACATTGTTATCGCGCATCATATTAATGGATTGAACTGAATTGTAGAATATATATACGCACACAAGATTCAAATGTAGTATTACGCATATTCCGATTTCATTAGAGACGGGTCGAAATTAATTCAAATTATGGAGTATTAGGAATTTAAGGTAAGAAATTTAAACTGAGGTTCAAAAACAAAAGAGAAAAGGGGGAAAACAAAAGCTGAAAGTCACTTAGATCACTTTGGAAAAGTAGAAACTGGGCATTCCATGAAAAAGGGAAAAAGCATTGGAAAATTCAAATAAGAATAATGTTATAATTTTGGATGTTTTCTGAATTATAAAGGTTTGAAGTTTGATAATTTATAATTATTTTTTTTTGAGAATTTAGTTTTTTAGTGTTGGTAACCCTTTGAGCATTAGCATTTACTTGTTCTGATTTGGGTGAAGAACATGGTCAGTTTTTGAAAATCAGTAAGTTAACATTATTTTAATTTCAAAATGTTCCAAAGAATAAATATTGTTTATTACACTTAATAGAAATATTGTGCAGTGTTAAAATAAGTTTTTGTTGTTAAATTCACTTAATTATATAAATTTCAACTAAACATTAATGCATGTAACGTAAGTTACCAAAAACTAGAAAAAGTTTTTGTGTGTAAAAAAGAACAAGTGATACAAANCAAAGGGAATTTCGTAACGTAAGTTACTGTAACGTAAGTTACCCACTTAAAAAATTATATTTAATTTAACTTTTGAAATAAAATCTTAAATCTAGGCATAAGAAATATTTAAACATGTCAGAAAAATGATACATATA